ATTTGACTTACCTACAAACTAAGCCAAGCCCTTTTCCTTCTCCTTTGGCTGGTTGTATAAGATTCCTCAGATGACCACTGGTGTGAGCTGATGGAGGGAAGCTGGGGCAACTGTAACATGGGGGTCTGGACTGCTGCTCTGGCACTTACTTTTGCTCTCTGGCGCCACTCAAGCTCAGTTTAAGAATGATTCCTACTGGGTCTGTCTTTATGACTTGGTGAGTCTGACACCAACCAGCTCCCTGACAGATAGGCACTTGGTGTCCTAAGGTCAAGTATTGTCTCTACCAGGGCCCAGAAGACACCAAAAGTTGTTTCCAGAAAGGTGTATAATTCTCTGATTCGAATGGCTCAGCTATGCTCTAGAACCCCAGGGGCCTGTGTGGTGATGCTCCCACAGGGGGCTGGCCTTAAACCCTATGCTGTGCCCTCTCCCACCACTGACATTGTTGACCATAGGCTCTGTTGGATGAGATGGTCCAAGAGCTGCTGACTGCAGCTTGGACCTGCTTCAGATCCCTCTCGTGCTCCTAGGCTTTCTCAAAGTTCTCATCCTTCTGTGTCACCCGATGTATGGACTGATCAGTTATCCTAGGGGCGGGATGTTTTCTCCCCAGAACTCAAAGGGGCCTACTAGGTGCATCACTTCCTTCTTCTTGGAAGGGATTCAGGATGCAGTGATTTGTCTTTGTCAGTGGAGGATATCCCAGCTTGTCTATGACTACTGGACCCCTACAAACTTCACTGAAGTAGCAGATCTCTGAATAATCACAGGGATTTTCTCCCACCCTCTGGAGAGCATGTGTCTTACCAAGACCTCCAGTGTACTGGCTGTGTCTTACTCATCCTGTCCAATTGCTGTGATGGCATCAGTGTAATGTAACATCCGAGTGATGTTCAACATCCGAGTGATGTTCTTCATGATCTCTTGACAGCCTGGATCTTTTATGACTATATTATGACTGGGGGTGTGAGAATTAACATAGCCCTTGGGAAAACTATAAATAAATGTTCTTATCCTTCCCACTATTTTTGATCCCATCTTCTAATTGAAATGGAAAAAACACACATTTGCAAAATGAGTTGCTGTATACCATGTATTTGAGGTGTTATTATTAACTTTCTCTGGCAACAACATGGCATAGCAGCTGTGATCCGGACTACTACTTACTGAAGTCTGTGGCAATCTATAGTCATTATCCAGGATCCATTCGGTCTCTGCAGGGGCCAGACTGGTGAATTAAATGGAGATATGATGGGAACATCATTAAGATCTTTAAGGGTGGCACTGATTTTCCTCACCTCTTTTGCCAAGTTGTTTTTGATTTACTATCTTGGCTGAGGAAGGGCATTTTTAGAGGTTTCCACTTGCTTTTCCCACTATGATAGCTTTTATAACACAGATCAGGGATTCAGAATTTGGACTGTCACAGTGTGCCAGATACTATCTGTGCTCTATATGCCACACAAGATGGGTTGTTCCTTGTCAGCCATGTGTCCATTTTTGAAGAGGCCCAATGTAGTCAATTTGCCCCAAATTTGCTTACTGGTTTCCTTTAAGGATTGAGCCTCTTCAGAACTGGATGGGGCAATAATTCACTTTAACTGCAGTAAACATAAATTCTGGATATGGGTTTGCTTTTCTTTCCTGGAAGGTCTCAGCCAGCACCACTATTCAAGAGTTTTCCATCCACTGAGACAGGATTTTATTTAATATTGGATTGGACCCAGAGATTCACTTTCTAGCTAAAGAAGTGCAAAATTGGGCATATGACCTTGGATTCTACTACATACTGCAATACCCAGAAAGTGCCAGCCAGATAGATTATAGAATGGTGTATTGAGGTGAAGTGCCAGCTTAGAGACAATACTTTGAGAGGAAGGAGTGCCACCCACCAGGAATAATTATGTACCTTAATCAATGACCATATACAAAATATACAGGTTTGGAACTAAGGAGTAGAAGTAAGAGTTGCTTTGCTTTTCATCACTCTTGGTGACCCACTTAGAGGATTTGTGCTTCCTATTCTTACAATTTTGGGTCCTGCAGGTTTATACCTCTTGGTTCCCAGATTCTAAGTGCCTTTACCAGGAGACAAGACAAAGAGTCCCATCATATTTTTATTCATGGCTGCTTCCTGGTCACGTTTGACACCCTCCAAAAAAGAAAAAAAGAAAGTCACCATCCTGACAGAGGTAATTGACCCTAATCATCAGGAGATCAGGCCACTGCTGTACAATGGGGGCAGGCAAGAAATTTAGCATCTAGATAACCCACTTAGGTATCTCTTGGAAGTGACAAACAAGTCCACTAGCCATAGCTTGAGAAGGGCACGGTATCCAGAGGCTCAGACCCTTCAAGGATGTAGGTTTCAGTCAGTCCCTGAAGTAAGCTACCTAGGTCAGAAAAGATCCTAACTGAGGGTTAGAGGAAATCTAGAATGAATAGTACAGGATAGATAGGATGAGTATCAGTTAAGACTCCAAGACCAGCTTCGATGGCAGGTGTGTAGTGTGTTTCACTAGTGTTCTTGTGAATCTTCCTCAGAAAAAGAAGCTCAACATAACCATGTGAGGATTGATGTAGAATTTATTTACATGAAACAAATGAGCCTGAACAAGGTGAGGGATGAACCATAGTGGATGCTGTGGTGCACTGCGAGGACCTTCCACCACTATGCCCTCTTCAGCACAGCTCTCATTTCTCTAGCTGCTGAGATTGTTGGAGGATAAGAGCACTCAACTGAATCCCTCTCAGACATGCCCAAGTTCATGTCCCTTCCAAGTTTAAGCTCACATCCAGTGGGGTGGTGGGGTGAGTAATAAGGGCCCAACCCCCTTGCCCTGATTTGTGACAATTCAAAAGGACCATCCACTCCCATGTGTTCACCTGAGGCCGTTACTGTGATGCATTGAGGCTCAATTTCTCCCCTTGACCTTGCTCGCTGCATCTCCCACAAAGGCGCTGATCCTGAGAGCACTTCCCAGTCAATCCCCTGCACTCCGATCTTGATCTCAGAGACTGCTTCCCAGAAAAACTGACCTGTGACAATGTGTTTTGCTGCATATATTTTTGTTTTTGTTATTATTATTTCTTAGTATAGATACGTTTTTATATCTTTTCCTTTATAGTTTCTGCTATTTTATGACATACTTAGAAGGTCCTTTCCCATCCCAAGAATATAAACATATTCATCCATATTCTTATAGTATACCTTTATGGCTTCCTTAAAGTTTTTAAATCTTTGATTCATCTGTGATTTGGATATGAAAAGAGAGGTAAGAATCCAGGATTATTTTTTTTTTCAAATGCTTTTCTGGTTCTCCCTATACTGTTTATTTTTCTAAATTTCTTTTCCCAAAACTAAGGTGTAATATGTTTTTCCAGTTCTAGTTTTCAATACTTAACTCATTTTTCTTCCATTGTGTTTAAGAACTGAAATGCTTAAATTATGAATTTTTTCTGTAAGTGCAGTGTTGGCTGCATCCTACTGGTTTTAATATGTAGTGTTCTTCATTAATTTTACTTTTTAGATATTATGCACCCAATTACAGTTTCAATTTATTTTTAAAGAACTGTTTATGTGAGCTTTTTAAAATTTACAAATGGTAGTAATTTTGTTTGGAGAGATTTATTGTAGTGTGATTAAGGAATCTGGTTTGCACTATTTCTATGTTTCAAAATACATTTAAATATGAGTGCCCACAAATTTGCATGTCTACTTTGCTCAAGAGCCAGGCTACCTTTATTTATTTTTTCCTGCATCTTTCTAATGTAATTAAAAGTAAGAAACCATTTTCCTTGTTCTAAAATTGTTATTTGTAATTTTCTGTGTTAGGACATCAGAAAATACACAGTAAAGGCATGTGGGTTTCTTACAAGGAAAGCGAGCATTATTCTAAGGACTTTATGGCAAAAATGTTGGCTGTACAGACACATTTTTGTCTCCTCTGGTTTTTGTAATTATTTCTGAGTTCCTTTAGAGTTGCGAGTTCCCCCAACTCCCTGGGCCCTCCTGGGGAACTGGGGAGGCTGCCAGGATATCAGGAACAACACTTCCCCACACACTTTTGAGAATTTTCTTTTGAAAGGTGAATCAACCACGGTCTTCAAGCTTGCTTCAAGCCCAAGCCAGGGTATTTCTGGGGTCTGGTCCCACTTTACTATTTACTGGTGTATGGGACAGCAGACAAATCTCCCCTTTTCTCTGGCCTCAGCATCTCCATCTCTACATGGTGTGAAGGGGGAGTGTTCTGAGCCCAGTTGTCCCCAGGAACCTTCTAACTCTTGATGAGGTAGGGCTAGAGTAATGAGCAAAGCAAAAGGAACATGGAGGGAGCAAAGGCATAGATGCAAAGGAGGGAATCTGTAAAGGGTCCACACACCCATGTGCCCTCTTTCCTTCATTCCCTGCTAATGAGAGAAGGGTATCTGGTGCCTGCCTGACAGGTTTGGGAGTCAGTCGTGGATGGAAAAGGGAAACCGAGGAAGGTTTGAGTCATGGATTTAAGATTTAAAAATGAGCTGAGACCAAACTTGAACGCCAGGAAAACTAGCCACACCTTGAATGCTTTGCTGATGTTTTTATTTGGATATTTCCCCTTTTCAGATGATGGTGATAAAAAGCAGATGGATTCCCCACCCTACCCACCCCCAATAAAATACAGACACAGATTTCATTCAGCATATACAAGCATTGGGGCGTGTCCAAATTCATCTCACTGGGTTACCAGAGCCAGGAGAGATTTGACCTTGGGGGCAGTCTGAGCACCTCAGGCCCAGGAATTGAGCAAGCCAATGCTGAGAGAGACTGCTGTTCTGGGCCCTGCCAATGGGGTGCCAGCAGAGGTGATAGAATCGAATCACGGTGAATAGAACTGCCTAGCCCTGTCGTGTGGTCTAGAAGATGACAGTGGGCTCCTGGGTAGCTTCCAGTGAGATCCACAGTCCCATAGAAATCTGTGCCTCGGGGTACCCATCTGCACTACGGGGATAATAATCCTGCCCTGAAGATGTCCCAGGGCTATGATGAGGCTTCAAATAGAAATAATTTGTCAAAAGTGCTCTGTCAAAGGTAAAGTTCTATACAAATTTAAGGGAATTCAATTGATTGATTGTGATTGTGAGAGTGCCCCGGGGATAACAGTGGACTGGCTCATGGGTCCAGGGGCCAAGCAAGTGGTAGAACTCCTATGCTGTGCCTTAGGTGGGCACCAATCAATGGCAGGTAATGCCTGCTGCAAAGCAGAGTTTCCTTAGTTTCTTAGCCCCAGGAAGTCACCAAGGCCTAGCACCTGGGTCAGGGCTGGGAAAGTCACTGGGGAAGTTACAGAAAGAGTCACAGGGGTCAAGGAGGAGGAAGAAGGTGGCGTACAAAGCAGGGGGTAATTACTATCATCACACACAAAAATAGATACCCACTGGATGAAGGGCATTGAATTGGTAGTGCGGATGAAAGATGGAAGCAGGGCGGGGAGACGGAGATGTCACAGCAGCAGAGGGATAGATACTATTCCAAGTCAATTCACTTGTTGGCTGTCCTCCTCCTAAAGGGATAATGGCAGTGTTTATCTGCAGGGGAAGGGAGGGAGGGCAAGGAGATAGAACCAAGAATATAATAATCTGACCGAAGGATGGGGGTCTCCTCCCTGTTATGCTGCTGCCCAGCATCTTAAGGAAGTGTCAGAAACAGGCAAGCAGCTGGTCTGTGCACTTTGAGGCTGGGGCCAGAGCTGGGCCCGTAGCACCACAAAGGCAATAATGGATTTCCGGAGAAAGGCAGTGATTGTCGGCACTGTTGGGACCTGATCACTGAGAGCCTATGACTTTTAAAACTGAGCATCATGAATGCCCCTTGAAGAATAGAAAGGTGGGCTATTTTGCTTGAAATGGGCTGCCCAGGAGATTAAGTGGATGGCCCAGGTAGGGGAGAGGGCCAGCAAAGACCAGTTCTCTGCGGGCTTGTGTGTGGGAAATGGGGAAAGAGAAACACTCCCTGGTCACTCCTGCTGCTGCTGCTTTCCCACAACTCCCTTAGCAGGGGGCTTGGGCCCTCCTGGGGAACTGGGGAGGCTGCCCCACAGGGTGCCAGCTGGCACCTACAAGTTAAGGCAAACAAGCCAGTAGAGCACATTGAACAAGAAGAAGGCCACTGGGAAAACAACCTGCGAGTAGTCATCCAGGCGGTAGATGTGGATGCAGAGGCGGCCCTGCTGCCAGGTGCTACCCTTGCAATCGGGGACCATGCAGAAGTACTTCTTGCACCACTCACAGCAGGTCAGCTTGGAGAAGAGGCTGCGGGGACCCTGGGGGCTACCTGGGCTGGGGGACCGCTGGGCTGAGCAAGACAGGCGCTCCTCTCCATCACTTCCCTCAGAGGTGACAACCTCGCACACAAAACCTTCCTGCTGCTGGGAGGCGCGGGCGCGGGCACGTGCACGGATACGGGCATGGGCACGGCTACCAAGAGGAGGCTGAAATGGACAAGGGAAGAAGTGGGAGAAAGTCAAGGGAAGATGAGCAAAGCCTAAGTGCTGTCTCAGGATGTTCTGGAAACACTGTCCTTGGCACACCGTTTCTTGGTCCCCCAGGATTCCCACCATTACATCAGGAAGTTGATTCAACCACCCCCACAACCCCCATCATGTGGCGAGCTGGATACCCATGTGCCATAACCCTGGTGCCCTCGCTGGCATGCCTCCACTCCCATACCCAGGTCATACATGGCGAAGTTTCGGAGAAGCACGGGCTTTTGTCTGGTTGTAGGTCAGGAAGTTGAGCACAGCAAATTCCAGCAGAGCGCAGAAGCAGAAGACGAAGCAGATAGCGATATAGAAATCCAAGGCTGTGATATAGGAGACACGTGGGAAATTCTTACGAGAAAAGGTGCCCAGTGTGGTCATGGTGAGTACAGAGGTGATCCCTGAAAAAGCACAGGAATAGAGGCGGGCTCAGCTCCTGACCCATATATTAAACTACTCAGACGACCCCGTGAGAAGGTAATTCTTTGCCCTGGTCAAGCTAACGCACAGCTGTGTGCTCATGCTTATGCCCACCTTATCCTCTTACCTAGAGAGGTCCTGGCTGAAGCACACTCCTTCTTGATCCAAAAGGAAACCCAGGAGAGCATCGTGGTCACAGAAGAAGGGACGTAGTTTTGAAAGGCAACATAGCCAAATCGCCTGCTCACGTTGAAGAAAAGCGTCATGACCATGAAGTCCCCTGGAACACATAAAAAACACCACTTCATTACAGCCCTGACGTGGGTCTTTCCCAAGCAGGACATGCACATTTAGAGATTTGTTCAGCTCATGGGATTCCTTACCACAGTCCTAAGACAGAGGCACATTGTTCCAATGCAACACACATAGGACCGGAGGAAGCCCAGCAAAGAGACTTACGGCTAGACCCATGGCCAACTGAGAGCTAAGCCAAGGCTACAATTTTAATCATTTCTTTCTCAGTTCACTGTCCCACTCCCAATACTGTCTTTCCAGGGTGGTAGGAGAGTCAAATGAAAGTGAAAAACATTGGTTAGACCTCTAGATATCAGGACCACACACCTGATGTACACATGGCTGACTGAGGCCTTCACGCCCACTGAAAGGCCAAGTGCAGTCTGCAGAATAGCAGCCTTCCGCCTGCACTGCTGGCTCTCCCAACGAACTCGGAAGGAGCCAAAGGGGCCCAGGCTGTGGTGTTGGAAGCACAGAATGCTTTCAGCTTCCTTTCTGCATGTTCATATGCTCTTGAAATGCCTTAATTGGAGTTGCTCCATTGAGGGACAAAAGCCATCACTCGCCTGCCCATAAATTGTTCATGGTCCCTGCTCTACATGAACTGCAAGATCAAATCTACACTCTGTAATCTGATGCTAAAGGCCCACCATGACCTGGGTCCAACTGACATCTTTTACACACACACACACACACACACACACACACACACACACACACACACACACACCCCCTCTTACCCTAAGTTAATCCCATCTGCTCTCAGATTCTCTGAGCTAGCCTGCATATTTATACAAATATTCAACTCCTGGACCCTCTGTTTTATTACCCTAACCCAAACTGGGTGTTTCAGGAAAATAGAATTAGCTGAAAGTGAAAATTTCAGTCAGCCCTCTAGATGTCAGGTCTGCAGAGTACACATCCACAAGGCGGACTGAGGTCTTCACATTTATTTGGACACTGTCCCTGGTCTTGGCTCTCACCCTAAACAGCAATGGCTCCTACAGGACCTGATGTCAACTTACATCTCCCTTCATGCTGCCTTATGCTCTGACACACCCACCCCAAACACTCTGCCGCTATCATGACTCCATGGCTTGTTTGGGCTTTTCTCTGAGCCTAGAACATCACTCTTCACTATCAACATCACTTTGGATTTGTAACAGCTCCAATCCTGACTCCTTAGTGAAGCTAAGCTCTGAATTCCTATTTCAGTGATGCTGTAGAATTCATTGGCCTTGAATTAGGTGGGCTTTTAAATCCCTTCGAGGCAGGGCTCATGTGGGCTTAGCCCCTGCCCATCTGAGCCCAGCACAGCCTGGAACTCAGGAGATTCTCAGCAACTCTTGCTGCTGCCAGGCAACAGCTTTGTAAAGCAGACCAGAACACTAACCTGTCCATGTGTCTTCCTAGTTTGGAAAGTAGATCACCTGCCCAGCAGGTCTGGGTGGGCTAGAGCTGAATGAAAAGAGCAGCCTTTCCTACTCACCTTGGTAGAACTGATATTCAAGGAGAAAAACTTCTCAGATTCTTCTGGAAAAAGGCAAGGAAGTGGCCTGGATTTAGTGGGAAACCTGTGTCCAGAGTAGTAGCTTTGAGGATAAAACTCCTCCAGAGCTGCTGTAGGGAATACTCTCGCAATTGCCTACTGGTCAGAATATATTGATCAATTTTCTGATTTTTTTGCCCCAAGGTCTTGAATGCAATTTAATGTACCTCTAATTAGTTACAACTACCCATCCCACCCGTGCAAAACTGCTGAGTATATATATTCTTTTTGCAAGCATATTTATTATTTTATTGGATTTTTCTATTTTAATTTTCTTTTTTCAGGCCAAAGAACTTTTTCTGCTTGTCAGGAGATGGGAATTGGTCTTTGAAGGCCAAGAGAAGGATAATAACACATGCTTTCTTCTTCCTGAGGATTGGAGAAGCACGGGTAATGGAAGAAAGATATCCGTGGCTATGAAGCCAAAGCAAAACAAACAAACAGACAAAAAACACTAAAGATGCTTTCTGCTCTTAACTCTTATGTGTTTTGGCCAGACCACGGTTGGTCACTGCACTGTCAGAGGGACAGAGTTTAAAAAATTGTATCCAGAGGACTGAGACTAGAAAGATGAGTAGACCCAAAGCTTTGAAGAACAAGGGAAAGAAAAGGAATTAAGGCTGTATAGACCATAACAAAATATGATCTAGGGCTGGAATGATAATACTGGTCCTTTAATCTTGACCCCATGGAAGAGTGACTGGACTTAATGTAAGCTGGACAGTTCTAGGGAAAAAGAACTAGGTCCAATGGGTGGAAGTTCCAGAGACTCCAATTTCAGATGAAAAGGCAGTTTTCTTTTTTTTTTTTTTTCCTTTTTTTTTTTTTTTCCTTTTTTTTTTTTTTTCCTTTTTTTTTTTTTTTCCTTTTTTTTTTTTTTTCCTTTTTTTTTTTTTTTCCTTTTTTTTTTTTTTTCCTTTTTTTTTTTTTTTCCTTTTTTTTTTTTTTTCCTTTTTTTTTTTTTTTCCTTTTTTTTTTTTTTTCCTTTTTTTTTTTTTTTCCTTTTTTTTTTTTTTTCCTTTTTTTTTTTTTTTCCTTTTTGTCTTTTTTCGTGGCCGGCAATGGGATCGCAACCCTCGGTGTTGCGCCCGCACCTCGCTCAGCCAGTGAGCGGCCGGTCTGTATGTGGGATCCGAACCCTCGGCGGGAGCACCACCGTGCTCCCAAGCGGTGCACTGTAGCAGTGCGCCACCGGGCCGGCCCTGAACAGGCAGTTTTCTGATGGACAAAGCTGTCTAGAGAAGGGAGAAACTCCTTTGCAAGATAGTGAACTCCTTATCACTGGTAAAATTCAAGCAGGGGCTCAACAGCCATCAGTGAAGGGGCAGTTCACTCACTGGGGGCAGGGCTGGACTCTTTGAGAACCTCCTAAAGCAGATTCTCTGGTTCGAGGGCAGAGTAGCAGGCTAACACTGCATTCTGAACCCTTAGGAGATGAGTACATAAGTCTGTTCCAGATGGAGAGAACTGCCAACTGGAAGAGTTTGAGAGCAGTCCCAAAGATAATTCTGACACTGGAGAAACCATGACTCAAGATAAACTACTCTTTAGTAGAAGAGAAAGAAGACCTCCTCTTTTCTCCCTAAGAACCTCATCTTTCCCAAGGAGATTTGGTGCTTACCTATTGTCATTGCTTCAGTGATGATGTTGGCTCTGGGGCTTTGTAGTCACTAGGGCACCATTTTGAAACAATGCACAACCATCTACTAAACGGAACCACTAGTGACTTGAAAGCCCCTGGGCCTTGTCTCCTCTGCCACTTTTGATGATGGATCCTCACCTATCTAAGGAAACTAAGGTGCAGAAAGCCAAGAAGCAGGCCCGTGGTTAGCTGGCAGAAGAGCAAGGATCCCAAGCCAAAGACAGTATAACTGCTTCCCCAGAGCTCCCAAGAAAAAGGAAAGTGCTGGAAAGCAGCCCTCTGCCCCTGCCTAGTACAGTGCAGGCAAAGCTCTAGTCAGATGACCATGAGCTGTCCATCACCCAGTGACCAACTCAACAAATGAAGCAAAAGCAGATTTTATGCCTAGCCACATGGAAGTAAAGCAAGATGCCTCCCATGACAAATGGCTTCTTGGATGACTGGTTCCATCCACATCCTGGAAACGATGAAGGCAGTGCCTCCACTGTCCTGAACTTGGTCAGTACGTGTGAAGAGGGTTTCCAGGGCTGCTCTGGGAGCTACCCTGGGGAGGTCCCTTGGCTCCTCATTCAGATCACCTAGGAACACAAGCAAAGATGCTCACACCCAATCAAGAGCTGAAGTTTAAGAGACCCAGGACCCTCCCCTTTAGTCCGTGTTAGGGACAAGGTCAGAAAACCAGTGGTCACCATGTCTATGTTGAATCAATCGTGAAGTCTTTGACAGAAATCTGTGCTTTACAGAGCTGCTTCTTTAAGATAAATGTTGATGTAGCAACCATTGTAGCTGCTGTAACCTCCTCCAGACTATCCCAGACCTCATCTAGTTGATATTAGAACTTGCCTCCAACTCCCATTAGAATGGATCTTGCTTCCCATTCAACCAACATGGATTTATTATAGGCAAGAAGAATTCACAGGAGTTCCATCTCCCAAAGTCATCCAAGTAGGTCAGTGTTGTAACAACGACCTTGAAATTGAAGGGTCTGCATGACAAAACTAGTTGCCAATTCTGACAGCAACAAAACTTTATCTACTTACCTAACCTCTCGGGGACTAGGCAAAGCACTTACTTCTTCGCAGACGAGACTGAGACATAGTTACAAAGTCTCAGTTTCCTCTGCAAACAGTTGTAAGTGCTTAGCATTTACAATACAGGAGCCATGTCCTACAACATTTTCATACAAATAGCATTTGCACGGATGGCCACCTCCAGTCATCCCTACTACCCTCCTGGGCCTCTGCCTAGCCCTGGCTCCCACAACACACTTACCAGCTGGCGTTGAGACAATTTCAGTTTTGTTGCTCACTCCTGTAAAATCAAACTGGAATAGCTTCCAGGAGTTCTTCTCATTGATTTCAAGCTTAAAATTTTCCCACTTGTAGATCATCTCACTCTCAGGATAGGAAACTGGAAAGCAACATGGAAAGGAGGGTCACATGAGACTGGGAAGCCCAGCTGAGGTCTCCACCAGCATGGAGTCAGCCTGAGTAATGCCTTAAAGTCCTTACTCTGGCCTCACCAGCTGTGGAACCTTGCCTCTCTTACCTCATTGTTGAAGTCCATTCCATAAGAGTGTTTACTGAGCATTCCTCAGTACCAGGCCCTGTGCTAGAAATACAAAGATAAGCAAGGCAAAGACCCTGTCCTCAAGCATTCACATTTTATTGAGTAAGACAGCAAGTATACAGCTGTGACTTTTGGAATTTCTCTGAAAAACTTCTGCTGTGGAATACAAAGTAGGGAAAGATAACTTGGGGACACACTCAGAAAAGACTTAAATATAAAGCAGGTAACATTCCCATTAAGTCTTGAAAGTCAAATAAATATTCTCCATATGGATGAGACTGAGGGGTGAGGGACAGCACAGAAAGGTGAAATGCCTGGTGTATTGTGGAAATGCCAAAAGTTCAGGATGGCTAGCTTATGGAAGATAAGGCATGCAGGAGTGGGTAGCAGGGGCCAGTGTACGAAGGGCCTTGAGGGTCATTCTAAGAAATGTGGAATTGATCCGTAAGTGTTAAGGGAGAATTTGAAACTAAGAATGACACTTCAGATGACACTTCAGTTAGGTCACTGTGGTCCTCATGTGAGGACAGCATGTTGGCAAGGAGACCAGTTAAGGGAGGCCAGTGCAATAATCCAGGCACTATAAAATGAATGAGTGCAGGAGTCACAGCTGTGACAGTCCGAATGTAGAGACATTGACAAGATCAACGGAGATTTTAGAGGGAATACCAACAGGATGTGCTGACCAATTAGATGTAGGAGGTGAGGGAAAGGAAAGCATCAAAGTTCCTGGCTTCGGCAACTGGGTGGGTGATGGTGCTCTTCAATGAGATAGATGGGAACACAGAAGCAACACATTTGTTTTGGGGGTAGAGGTTGGAAGGAGACAATGAATTTAGTTCTGGACATGTTCAGTATCAAAGCAAAGATGCTGCAAAAGTCTAAGTGGAAGATGACAAAGAGGAGCAGACATACTTCAGATACACTTTAGAAGCAATTGACTGACTTGACGGGGGTGGAAGGGAGAGGGAGGAACCCAACATGAGGCCCAGACTGAACGACACAGTGTTGTTGGCAGGAAAGGAGATGAGGATGGAGGATGGAGGTTCTGCAAAGCCTTGACACCATCTTAGGAGAAAAGCATAGACAGAGAAATGTAAAGGACAAGGATGAGTGAAAGAAGAGGCCCAGCATGTTTCTGGGGCCCCAGAAACCTCAGAAGGTACTCACAGCTAGAGAAAGACAGAGGGCAAGAGTGAGAATCCATTGGAAATTTGAGCATGTGGAGTGAACATCCAGCATCAATGGTCATCCTGGAGGGGAGAAAGGAGCCTCATCAGGTTGGTTCTGAGCACTTAGGTATCCACTCAACTTTGGTTCGGGGACCACCACAACGAATGGCAACAGTAGAATTTATGACAAAAAGCTCCAAAGAGAGACCAAAAGAAGAGAAAGAATAGCTTGGAAGTATCTGGCTACTCTGAGTTCCATCATCAGAAAAGTGTTGGACCAACTTAGATGGGCTTTTGCTTCTTGCCCAGCCCAGCTTGCAGCACCTACCAACATTCTCCCACTCTCCACCACATCCATTCCCCCATCCCCACACCACCAACACACAACCTTTCCCTGCCAGGAATTCAAGTATCCAGCCTGGTCTTAGCTATCTTTCCAACCGCTGTGTTACTGCTCCGCCTGGACAATTCCACCACCGTGGACGTGTCTTTACATCCAGTGCCCACTTGGGATGGAATTGTCCAGGCAATGCAGTCATACTGGTACATTCTAGTTGAGGGAGCTCTGGACTAGAAGCTAAATAACTGGATACCAGTCACAGCTCTGCCACATAATTGGTGTGTGGCTTTAAGCAATATCTTTCTATTCTGAGGCCTCAGTGTCTGCATCTATATATGAGGGGGTTGAGCTCACAGTCTAGGAAAGCTGGATAGACCCTTAGAAGTATCATTCAGGATGAGATCTCTGCCCATGAGTCTTTGGCTAAAATTCTCAGAAGGGGAGGGAGAGTTCTAGGAGGTGAGACTGCAGAGGCTTGACATACCTAATGGTGTACAACACCTTGCCGTCTTTGTGGATGCGGACCATCTGGTTTGGCATGGTGATCTCATGCTCTTGGGTTTTCTTAGAATTCCTAAAAAAGGTGTCCGGGATCCACAACTGGCTCACCACATTGCCATTCAGAACAAGGGTCTCAAAGGTGTCATTGTAACGGAGGCGTTCATCATACCAGGTCTGGCAGAAGATGATGTCAATGGTGTATTCCTGGTGGGAAGGATAAAAAAGCACACACTTGGGGCTGAGCAAACAAAGGACATTCACACATAAACATATTGTTTGGCACTGCCTAACCTGGAATCTTAAAGGCAACGTGATGAAACACATGGAGCACTGGATAAGAAGTAAGAGTAGGAGGAGGTCCCTCCTCTCTGCTCAGAGATTCTTCCAATGTTAGGACTAGAAGGGACCCAGAGGTTACCACGCATAATGATCCCAACCAAAAAGTCAGTCATGCCCTGCATGGTTACCATGAGCAAGGGGAGCTGACTCCCCACATCAGGCAGTGGTTAACACCATTCTCATACAGTTCAGAGCAATAGAAAGGTCTGCCTTAAATGCAGCTCCCTACGGCTTTCTCTTATCAATTCCCTTTCTGGTCTCTGGAAGCACACAGAGCAAGTCTAATTCCTGTTCCAAAGGAGAGATCTCCAGAAATCGTATTTCACTGAACCTACGATTCCCTTTTTCCACATTTCTGAAATCAAGATGCATCTTAAATTGTTACATATCTTTAGTGTAGCATTTCTCCCTTTTTCTTGACAAACTGATTTCAATTGGTTGTGCATCATAAATCAGAGGCAACTATGTGAGTCAAGGAAAGGCACTTGAAGATTGCAATCATGTCCTCCTGAGTCTTCTCTAGGGGGGACGTTCATAACCAAAAACTTTCATCAACCCAACCATTTGTTTTACCAATAGATCTGCAAGGACTGCGGATCAACTGACAGTCTACTTCTAGGTCACTCTTTTCTCCAAAGTGTGAAACCATTCTCAAGCTTCCAAATGTCCACAGACATTCCTTAGAACTTAGCCCAGAGCATTACTACTCACTTTGTGATGTATTTATTCTACAAGATCAACCACACATCTTGGAATGATTCCACCATGGAAAGTGTTGCCTGATAGAGTGGCAAATGCGACTGTGGTCCATGTGGATCTTACCACCATAGAACAAAGTGATAAACACAACTGGATAAAACTGAGATCTAGAGCACCCTTCTGGTCACATAATAGTCAAGGCTACTGGATGAATGCAGTCAGTGCAAGGATACAAATAGTTGCTGGGGATTTTGAAGGTCAAAGTCAAAACAACAATGGGATAGGGGAAATTTGGTGATCTTTAAAGGTTCTGATAGCTCTGATGTTCTAGATTCTGAGGATCCCCATCAGCACATGCTTAAGGGCATAAGATTTATGTCACTGCAACTATCCAGTATTTTTTCCATGTTTTCTTATGAGAGTAAGAGAACTTTTCACTTAGTCAAGATGACAAAGGACTTGTTCATTAAAATGACATATCTGTATACTACGGCCACACCTGGAAACATGAACATGTAACTATGTCAAAGTAAAAAGACTAGAAAATAGCCAGTAGACACTGACTGACACTTCGGAAAACTGAATGTTCCCTTAAAATGGTTCCAAAGGAATGTGGAAAGGAGACCTGTTAGACTCTAGTGGTTATTAGTCTGTTTTTTTCCTATAGAGATGTTAACATTTATAATCAAAATCTTAAATAAATGTTCATGTGACCTTGGCTGAAACATGAACCTTTACCTGTCACCTTCTTTGTTAAATGGGGGGCTAGAAATGATTTGTAAATGCCCCCCCAAACTGCCCTGTGGCCAGAGCTGACACTGGGACCCTTCCTCTCTCAGTGGGCAAAGGCCCCATGACATTCTATGATGGGTCTCTCAAGCAAATTGACTCTGGAGTCCACTTAGGTTTGCACAGAGGAAAGTAGCCTGCGTTTGGCCATAGGAGTTTTCTTTTTCTGGGTATTCCCAAAAGAAGGTAACATTCCCAAACAGGTAACAGTCTGGGAAGATACATTTCATCTAGAAACAGGTGATGGTGGCTTAATTGTATGGGCTGGGCTCATCACCTTATCACTCCCGTGTAGGATGGTGGTGCTACTCCAGCCAAGTCAACACTGTCTCAGCCCCCATGTTTCCACAGCAAATCAAAGATCCCAGCTTAAAATCACTTAAAAAGTTTATAAGTACACACACCTTTGACTGTCTATAGCAGTTTCCCCTTTCAGCTTTTATTTGGGGAGCACAGATGTTAATTAACCTCAATCCTTCATTCTCCAGAAATATATTAAAAAAATGACGTGCTTTGAGTCACAAGAGAAATGTCTATTTAGATTCCTGTTTTTGAAACAAAGAGAACCATTTTTTCTTTGCTTTGTTTTTCCTTTCAAACAGGTGCCCATAACCTCTAAATGTGTGTGTGCATATGCATAGATATATTCACAATTATTTGGTCTCCAGAAATTGTCTATGTCATAAACTGTCTGTTAAACATCAAGAAGGCTGTTTAATAGGAAGAAGCACAAGGAGCTAGAAATTTGCACCACTAGCATTGAAGGGAGAAAAAACAGACTGCAGTGGAACTGTAAGCGCCTTGAACAGCAGCTACCAGGACTAGGCCAAAGCAGAACTCTGAGGACTAGCTCAACCTCCCTTATTTTAGAGGGAGGGAAACTGAGGCTCAGAGAGAAAGAGGGCTGTCCAAAATTATACAAATAGTCAATGACAGCACGCTGGCTCTGCCACTCAGAGCACCAGCACCATGGCCTTGCCTTGCAACAGCCTTCACTTACATCAACAATCCCTTTGGGCACCAACGTCTAATTGTCCTCTTCAGAATTCCTAGGTCTTTCCCTGAGTTACCCTGCATCACACAATGAGTACCAAGCAGAAATCTACAACACTGAGGGCCAGTAGAGCCCTCAGGGAAAAGATTAAGAAAATCTCTGCTTTTCGTTGCTGCCCAGAACAAAAGGTGGTGGAAGCAGCTGCCAAATTGCTTGGAGCCAGCCAGGGAAAGGGAGACTGAGAAAGTTTCCTGGAGTAGGCCAGAGAAAGACAGAAAAGAGCTGGTAGAGCCTGGCTACCATTCATATGGGAGGCCCTGACCCATCCCCACCCCGCCTCACCTGACTTCACGAATGGCCTTCAAAGTGTTTCCATGGTCCCCAGTGGCTGGCAGTTCCAACTTAGCCAGCTGAGCGTCCTTCATTCCCAGGCCATGCCAACTGCTTGGTAGCCAGAGGGAAGCCTTCCCTCCACACCCATGCTGTGCTCGTGCTCTATGTTATAGTGTTTCAAATGAGCGTTTAATTTCTATTTGACAAGATACCAATTGCAAGTTCATTACACATCAACTGATAACTAACATTTCAAGTTTTTCCCAGTTTGACAAAGGAGATTGCGATGTACATCTCTTTTAGCACAGCTGAAACTCTAGAAATTTGGTGTTTAGGAACTGGCTCAATTAGAATCGCCTGAGATAATTACCACAGCAAGAAACAGCATTAGCAACCACTGATGCTGCAACAGGAAGTCGTTCCCAGACTGGCTATTGCCTTTTAAGCTCAGACTGGGTCTTTCAAAAGTTAAGCCAGGAGGTTGGTAGAAACATTTGATTAAAATCCACATGGCATGGACTCATGTTTCCCTCCCTGAGGACAAGGTCTGCACTCTATACAACATCTGATTGACCAAAGGGTGTTGAAACTCCCCTCAAATAATTACATGGACGGTGTAACAAATGTTGGGACTCACAACGTTGCTGAGAGGCTGTTACCTCAAATGTAAAATGGGGATCCTCATGCTGCAACACAGGCTGTCATGAGGACCCGGGGAGACAAGTATACTCTGAGCACTGGCAAGTTCTGTGGCCATGTGGCAGAGACGTGCATCTTCTCCTCACCAAGTGCATCAGGGGAATGTAGGCTGCACAAAAACAGGGACTTCCCACCTCTTTGAAGAACTATTTGGAATGATGTAGAAGTGAGACTACTCAGAGAAATTCAATAGCACATAAGCGTTTGGAATATTCAAAAGGCACTAGCCCAGGCTAAAGCACCACCTTACTGGCCAAAGAAAATCAAGTTGTTGGTTCCTTTCTGGACCAGTTCTGTGTTTTATGCCTGGTTTGGTGACTGATGAATCATTAGACTGGTATCCTTCAGGCTTGTCAAGTATCAACACTGCCCGGCACCCCTGGTGCTGGCAGTATTAATAGTCAAGGAGCAAGGAGAAATAGGGCATTCAGCTACCATGATTGGGGCTACTGCTGCCACAGGGCTGTCACAGATGATAGAGACTGGTTTCCCAAAATTATATCTTACACAAATAGCAAGGAGATTGTAGCCACAAATTTTCCACTATTCAGTTTACAGGATGCTCTATTTCATCCAGAAAATAGAGCAAAACAACTTAGGGCCATCTGCCCCATTCATCAATGTGTGTGTTCTCTCCACTCAGCCCAAGGAAATTTTGCCACCACTGACTGGGTGGAGGTGAACAGGCTAGGGAGAAAGGAACAAAGCAGCCTGCTGGAATTTAGAGTGGTTACTTCCAAAACAGCTTGGCAATGCCTTAATATCAATTCAAAGGAGCAGAGAAATAGACCAAAAGAGCAGAAAAATAGATGCGCAAGGTTCTGGGAGCCATCAGGTTACTGTGGACTGAAAACTTCATTTAGCTTTGGGCATACTAAAGGGAAGGTAGAGACTGCTGCAGGAGGCTCTCTACCCCACTAGAAAACAATCCTGTACTGCCTTTCCTACCCCTACACCAATTACCTGAAAGGCCCATTTCCTATTAAAAATAAACAGTGGCCACAATGGTGGGACCACAAGATTTCAACTTATGGCTCTTGCTCAGAATCTAGTGTTTCTTGGTTTATAAGCAATTTTAACAAAACTGGTTGCTGGTTTTACACCCATTTAGAAAAGGTAAAAAGAAGACTAATTCTTGTAGTGGTAAGCACATTGATAGCAGTATAAAGTCAATCTCACATCAAGGGAAGAGAGAAAACAAACAAACAAACAAAAAAAACAATTTTAAAATGTAGATAGAAACTCAAAAATATCTGTCTGTTCTCATGTTCTGTTATTTCCTGTTAGTTCCCAGCATTCCATTCTACGAGTTACAGGCTTTCCCTTGCTCTAACAGGAGAACATCATGGCCATTTGTGGTACGTGGACTCTTGAGACGGTTCCCAATGATTGCACTTTCTGGTGTTCATGCCCTTGTGTAATTCCCTCCACTTGACTGTGGGCTAGACCTGATGACTTGCTTCTAATGAACAGAATATTGAAGAAGCAATGGGATGGCACTCCCAAGATTAGATTACAAAACTTTTGTGGCTCCCATCTGGAGCACATTCTCTCACACTCTTACTCGTTCTGAGGGAAGCCAGCTGCCATATTGTGAGCTACCCGGTAGAGAGGCCCACATGCAAGAACTGAGGGAGGCCTCCAGACCACCGCTGGAGAGGAACTGAATCCTGCTAACCATGTCAGTGGTGTTGGAACTAGATACTCCTTCAACTGAGCCTTCAGATGAGAGCCCAGCCCCCAATGGACACCTTGATTATAGCCTTGTGAGAGACCGTGAAACAGAGAACCCAGCTAAGCCATGCCTGGATTCGTGACTCACACAAGCTGTAAGATAACAACTATCTGTTGTTTTAAGGCACTATGTTTTGGGAGTAATTTGTTACATAGTAATGCATAAGTACACTGTGTCTCAAACAGTGAGACACTGTGTTTGAGACACAGTGTACTTATGCATTGCTATGAACCAATAGCCAAACAAAGCACCACAGGGGGGAACATCACTCTTTCACTCAGCATATGTAAACATCTTGATCTTCCACGAATGCTTACTTACCTTTGAGTGTCTATTTGCAAGGCCCATCTCAAAAGTCAAGGCTCTGAACTGCCCCAGTCACAGGCTCTTGTAGGGTATCAGTGAACATGCTAGATCTGTGTCTACCCGGGACCAAGCCAAGTCTATGACTGCAGTGGAATTGGTTACCACAGCCTTCCTCATTGTCAGGCTCTGCAGATGCAAGTGACTACTGTGGAGCATCTTCTGTAATTCGTTTGCTCAGTTAACATGTACTGAGTCTTGGCATCAAGGAGCCCATAGTGGAGACAGCAAGGCAGACATAGAGCAAGTAATTACAGTGAAATGAGGTAGGAAAGATCACGTAAACAACTGTGATGTATCCTAGAAAGATGTGTGTACCAAAGAGGAGTGTGGTGCGAGTAAGAAGGGAACAACTAATAGCTGTGGAAGTCAGGGAAGCTGCCATGAAGATGTCACCTGAGCTGTACCCTGACGAAGGCTGTTTTTGACAAGTAGGAAAGTGGAGCAATGGCATCCCCATCAAGAGACTGTTCAAACAATCTCAAGAGGTACAAGGCAGTCTGGGAACTTCCATACTCTAGTGTGACTAGAGCACAAGGGGGTGAAAAGGAATACATCCATGGAGGGCCTGGACTGCTAGAGTGTGGGGTGGAACCACATGCCAGAAGCAGGGGCAGGACAGCAGGAGGTTCATCACTCGGGAGGCGGGCTTACTAGTGGATTGGGATAGGAGGAGACCTTTGCATATTCCAGGTGGGAGATGATGAAAGCTAACTGGGGACAGAGCTGACATAGTATGATTCCAGTAAAAAAGGAGAGAAGGCACTAGGGCAAGATTAGAGAAACAGTCTTAGAGCAAGAACTGGTAACTATAGACTTAAGTCCATATAAATAATTATCAGAAGAAAAGAGCCATTCCATTGCAGTGTGTAGAGATGCCTTATTATTTTTATTTGAATGAAAGACTGGAAGATACAGTCATGGTTCTGAAGATCCTCTTCGGGCAGCAAGGGACTTACCTTTTCCAGCCTCGTTCTCAAGTCAGTGACGGTTAAAATATCTCCCTCCCTCCAAAAACAACAACAACAACAAAAACCCACAAAAAACAAATAAAAGCCCCTCTTGGAGTCATTACAGAAAAACAGAGCAGGAAGCACAAGTGTGTGGAAGGCCCTGTATGTAGGCCAGCCCCTGGGCTAGGGAACACTGTACTCAAAGCTTAGTACTCACCATGTCCATTATAGAGAGTGGGCCAAGGCTGTTGACAGAGATCTCAACAGTGACCACAGTGGGCTTCTCTGTAAGGAAAGCAGAAGTAGCAGAGGGTAAGTGTCAAATAGGGGCATGGGACAGGGGAGGGTCAGAGGGCAGAAAAGGGGAGACAGGTGAGGGTTGAACTATGTATTTTCACCATCCGGTCCTATTTCTTTATTGGTTCTGTCATGGCAAGACCCAGCTCATGGACTGTTAAGAGTTGGACATACACCTCGAAGATCAACCATCCAGTCTAGTCATCTGGTTTTATAGTTGGAAAAACTGAGGGTAAGAGTAGGGAAAAGTCTTGACCAAGGTTAGTGGCATTGCCGAGAATAGAGTTAATGTCTGTTACCTGAAAGGTCAGCAGCAGATGTTCCTGTCCATGTGCATGGCACCCTCACCCACATCCCAGGGCCATTCTCCACTCCTATGCCCTCCCTACCCTTTGGGAGGGGAGAAGTTTGTTCTGTTACTCACCACCAATGCCGGGGCGCAGTTTGTGGTCATAGTTACTCAGGATCGTGTTCAGGATGCGAGAGGCTTCTGGCAGTTTGCCAACTGGGCGCCCGGTCCCAGTAGCAGTGGGCTTTGTTTCTTCAGAGAGGAGCTTCCTTCCAAGGGGCTGTGGCTCAGGGCCATAGAAGACATCATTATGGGCAGAGGCTTCCTTCTTTGACGCAGGCTGAGGTCCCTCAACCCTAGAACATGCAAACAAAAAATAAAGCTCTGCCTTCCACCCTGTAGGGCCCCAGCTTATGCCTCTTGCAACGATGCTTAATTAAATAGTGACTGGTAACTGTAAATTATGAGACAGAAACAGATTATACTCGTTAATTTCTTTTAAATCTTGCTGCTCTTTGAGGATTTGCTACACTATTCCTCTTTTATAATAATTCTTTACTTAGAAAAAAAAAATCAATAATAAAAATAAGACCTAGACTTTAAAAGGATTTTCAATGCAAAATGAAATGAGAGGGCATTTGTGTGTGAGCTCTGGCCAATCAGCCACTGTTACTAGCCTTGGCCTCCAGTCCGCCTGACCAGCACCACCTGGGAGCAGTGGACAGGCAGAGGGCCAGGGCTACCGAGGGACGCTTGCAAAAGCCAGAGCAGCCTCTCCCAGAAGGACTAGAACATTGTGGGGATATTCTGCAGTTTTGTAATACTCGTCGCATTAAGGACAGTGGCCAGGAGTGGAGGGAAGAAGGCTAAAGGGCAGCTCTTTGTGAATATTTAAGCACTGAGGAAAGGCAGGAGTCCTTCACCCAGAGACTGTCATCCAGGAAACGGATGGCCAACAGGAGCCCATCTGGAGTGTCACAGCCATTCGCCACAGCCAATAATAATAATAATAGTAGTAGTAATAAAATTAAATTAAGCAAAAATTTAAAAAGCCATCTGCCAATGTATGAAACACAGCAATCGTGTTAGAGGTCAGAGTAGTACTACTTTTGCTGGGAGGCAGTGACGAAGGGGGCACCAGGGGGCTTCTGAGGCTGTGCTCATGTTCTAGTCCTGGATCTGGCTTCCTTTACACCACTGTGCTCACTTTCTGACACCTCATCAGCTGTACACTTATGATTTAAGCACTTTTCTGTATATATGTTCTAATTCAATAAAAAATATTTTTGAAATAAAAATGCCCTGACTGTTAATACAGGGATCTGATTTGGATCCTGATTTTTAAAAGCAAACTATAGTTATGACACAACAGAAGAGTTCTGAACACTGACTGGATAGTTGAGGCATGAATAAATTGCTGTTAAATTTTTGGTGTAATAATGGTATTTACTTATGTTTTTAAATTCCTTAATGATTACAAATACATACTAAAATAATTACATATGAAATAATATGATATCTGAGATTGACTTCAAAACAATGTAAGCCAGAAAAGGAGGATGAGTGGGATACAGAGGAAATCAGAGTGACCATGAGTTCATAAATGATGAGGTTGGGGATGGCCACATATCTACAGATTCAGTCTACCATTCCCCCTACTTTTATATGATTTTGAAACAATTTTATAATTAAAAGCGTTTTAAAAAGCCATCAGCCCAAATTAATCTGTAATGCTGGAAGGCAGGAGAGTGTACTGGGAGGGGCATTGGTAAGGCTGTATTTCCTGGTCTAGGTGCTGGTTACATAGGTATGTTTACTCTGTGAAAATCCCCTATGCTGTTTGCTCATGGTTTCTGTGCTTTTATATTTGTATGTTACACTTTTTTTTTAATGATTTAAAAAAAAAAAAACTATCAGGTAACTTGATTCCTAAAATAAGGGGTAAACAGGGCAGGAGACATGGGCATGACTCCTGTATTGCAGACCAAGGGAATGCCAACTTGGGCAGCAAAATGGATTTTTCTGCAGTAGTTTAAGCTCTTAGAATTGCTTAACTGGCATGCAGATGTGCCAAGTCTATGCCATTTCTCATGTCTAAAGTGGCTAATTTCCATTGTGGGCTAGGGAAGAAGTGGGCTTGGAAAAAGCAGTTTCTGCTTTCAAATGCCACATCCAGAAGGCCTCCTCTTTCCCTGAGGCTTTTCAAGTCTCATGGGTGCCTGGAGGCTAATCTCCCAGTCCCTCTGGGAGGAAGGAAAATGGGGGGCCTGAAACCCTGCAAAATGAGTGACGTGGCTGGGAACATGGCACAATCAAAACTGTAAGCCAGTGGTAGACTGCACTGCCAGACAGGACCACTCAAAAGCCTGCAGTAGCCCCTCCCATATCTGAAACCCTCAACAACAACCCCCCCTCCCCCAACAGGTTTAAAGAGGCAAACAAATAAACACGAAAGCACTGGGACCACCACCTAAGCCCTTCTGACCCTAGACTAGGTCTGCAATGAAGATGACATCAGAGGGTCTCGAGTTTGCTTTAATCACACAATCGGCTTTTGCCAGTTAAAACAAACCAACCAACAAAACAAACAAACAACCTCATCCTGGGATCCTTGGGGTTAAGAAGCTGCTGACAATGCATACCTTTCCCCAGTCAGCCATTAAGCTCACTTTCAGGGCTAGGAAGAACAAAAACTTGAAAAACACCTATACAGTGGACTAGTGGGATTTTCCACAGGGGCTTTTCAGGCACCCACATCCTTCCAGATGTGATGATTCGGGATAGAGTGAATCTCTGCACCACCTCCCACCCCCAGCAGCCTGGTTGGGGTTAGGGAATATAAGGGATGCTGGAATATTTTTTCCAAATCAGCTCTCTTGCTTACTTTAGAGATGGAGAAACTGAGGCACAGAGGGAGGAAAGGCTGTGCCCAAAGTCCACAACTGATTTGAGGCTAAGTATGGGCCAGAGCAAGGTTTTTTGGTTGACGGTGACCCAGCACACCCCACTGTCACCTCCTCAGCTCTTTCCTGACATCACAGGTTGCCATGTTGACAGTATCTGAACATCAGTTACCTCAGCAGCCCTCCCCTCTGGCTGGAAGGGTAGCTTCCATATTCATAGCCCTTCTTCCCTGCTGTTTTCCTCTCTGATTCCCGTCCCTTCTTCCGACCCCCCGCCCCCCGCAGGTCCTAGCCAGTCACCATGTCTGTTCTCTCAACTAGTACAAATCCCATGTGAGGGATGTGGATGACTAGAAATTCCTAGCACGCATTCAGAAACATTTGCCAAGCCCCTCCTCAGCCCCCCCCCCCCAGGGCACCAGCAGCGAGCCACACAGCCCCTCCCCTGAGGAGCCATCCCCTCTCCCCAAAACAGATAAACAAGACTCAAGCGCAGTGCCATGGAGACTTCGAGAAAGCTCCACAGATCAGGCAGCTTAGGAACTTGTGACAGCTGGAAACCGTCTCAAAAAAATGAAGCAGTCATCTCTTCCACCCTAACAAGCCAGAAATCCAGGGTCCAATGTTCCTAGCGAAGTCCCAGGACAAGGAGAGGGTATGAGGGAAGCTGGCTGCTCAACGGAAACCTGAAAAGGGGAGGGGGATTGAAATCCAGGCCCCAAACCACAGACCTCAGAGGAGAACAACATTCCTGGCCTCTGACTCCAGTCGGCCCAAGACCCAGCAGGGTGTCTGGGGGATGAGGAAGTGGGGGAGGGGGAGGCAGGTAGGCGCTGCGAAAAAACTGTGAGCAACAGAGGACACACGAAGCAACGCTCAAACGTGTTCAGCGCGGCTATGTCCCCAGCCCTGCCCCCGTCCCCAGTAGCGTGAGCCTCTACTAGCCGGTCACCCCGGGGCTGCTCCCCTCTTCCTGCGCAAGACCCCGGGAGGGAGGGGAATGCTCGCCCTCCCACCGCCGCAGTGCTTTGGAGAGCAGGGGTCCGTGGACGCGAGTGGCCAGGGGACAGGCGTCCCGCCTTCCTCCCCGAGCTCCCCCTCAGGGGCCCGGGGCGCCCATCCTAGAGGGAGCGGAGGCTGATTGCGCGTCGAGAGGACTCGGGACCCGGCTGGCCCACGCGAGGGCCCTGGGCAAGGCGGCCGCGGAGCTCGAGGCACGCGGAGTCGCAGGGGTCCTGGGAGCCCGCCCGCTGCCGAGGAGAGGGAGCTGAGCGCGGAGGACTCTTGGGTCCCGGGAGGGAGACTCACCTCGACTGGATGATCACGAATATGCCCAGGAGGAGCACGAGAACTTTGGGCAACATCGCGGCGCAGAGCGGCGCGACCACCTGAGAGGCAAGATGGGGAGCTGGGGGAGCTTTTGCCTCCGCTGCGACCCCCTTCAGGCCGCTGTTGCGCCGCGGCGTCGAGAGGTCGAACTGTGCTCTCCAGCCCTCGGCCTCCCCACCACCTGTTGCACGCCACCACTTCCTCATGTCACCTGGCCTCCCCTAGCTGCCTCTGCGATTTTCCCTGTTCTTACTCCCCACCCTCCAGTCTTTCGGAACACATCTCTTGACATCTGAAGGAAGCTAGGTAACTCGGCGCCTTCCTAGGCACGGGAAAGAAGACAGACTTGGGGGTCTCCCCTGCAAGCTCTGATCTGAGCTAGGATGCAGGCTAACTTCCCAGGCATTTGGGGACGGGGCAGGACCCCCCAACAGAGGCCCAGGCAGTGGCAATTAGTGGAGGACTTCCTCTGAACCTCAAGAAGGCACTGAGGCAATGTGGCTCCCCATTCAAGCCTGAGGCCTGAGGCCTGGGTGTGAGAGGGAACCCCTGGGATGTAGGAAGACTTAGAAATCACCTCTCCAAGACCAAGTAGCCAAATCTTTCTGGAGACTTGGCTTCACGTGATACCAGAAGAAGTGAGAAGTCCCGGAGTGGAGAGGGCCCTTATTCAGGGAGGGCATGTCAAGAGTCTCAGGCATCCTTGGACTTCATCTTTCTTGCCTAGACCCGCCACATTCACTACAGAGGGGAAGGAGTTGCAAAGATTTGCGGAACAAGCTGATGCCCAACACTAGCAGCACCGTCACCTGTTGCTCTAGAAAGGGCTGTGTGCGTGCATCCCAGCTCCCATGAGGGCTCCTCGGAGAGGCTCTGCTGTACCATACTGATCTAATACATCCTCTCCACCACCCCACCCCCAACCACGTCACTCTGCTTTGTCATCTTCACAGCACTGCTTACTGTGAACTGATGATTTTCTTGGGCATTTTTTTGTGAGCTGGTTTACAAGGGTCTCCTTCACTGGAATAAGCTCAGTGACACACACACACACACACACAAAATGTGTCTATCTGGTTTTCCACTATATCTCTGAAACTTAGAAAACCTGTGGACACACAGTAGGTACTCAACAAATATTTGTTACTGGCCTGTGTGCAGCTGTGTGTTCTTAGTGCCACTGAGTCTGCCAGGATCTGGGGCTCCCTTCAGACTCCAGTGTAAGAGAGAAGAAAAGACTTCAGGGTACATTCAGGCCTCTCATGTGCATGCTTCCTAGCCCTGTGGCAGGGCCAGCTTCATGGGCATGTGACCCATGCAATCACACAGGGCCTCCCCCCACACACACACCCAAAGAAGGAACTTATGCTTTGTTTAATGCTTTGCTATCACCCTCTTGAAATTCTTGATAATTTTTGAACGAGTGGCCCTGCATTTTTCTTTTCCCTGAGCCCTGCATATTATGTAGCCAGTCTTGTCCTAGGGAGACATGTCACAGAGCAGGGACTAGGCAAATATGGATTCTTCCTGAGCCGACGAGAAAGATAAGGCTGCCTGTCCACCTGCCTGCTGTTCTATCCAGCACCAGACTGCTGCAGAGAGGGGCGAGTCTGCACTTCCTGTAGCCAGCCTTGGATTTAAAGTGTCTCATATGCACGTCTCTTCCTCCACTCACATTGGAGCTCCAGGAGATGACTGCTTGTTTGATTTACCTGTATTCCTCTGGGTCAATCACAGTGCCCAGTGACCAGTAGGCATTAATTACATTTGCTGAAGGGAAGACTGAATCCCGGGCAGCCAAAAGAGGCAAGTGGTTACATGTCTCTCATCAGAGGATCCCAGGCACCTTTCTCTTACACTTTGAGATTAATCACACTTTGCCATCTTCCTTATAAACCTCATCCATAGGATAGCTGCAAGGACCGGTGGAAACTACTGGATGTTATTATTGTTTTGCAGTTCTCCAAGTATTTGTTGCGTGCTTGTCTGCCCCAGGCCCTGGAGTTGGTGATGGAGAAATATATAGCAAGGACATAGTCTTGGCCCTCATATGAGTGAAGAACTTGTCTCAGAAATTACTACTTCAAGGTAGAAAGTCATGAGGGCCCTGGAGTTCCCAAGATGTTTCACATCAACCTGAACCTCTTGCATCAAGAAGGGGTTGATGCAAGAGGTCTCTTGCAGGGAGCAGAGGTGCAAAGATGGGCATTCCAAGCTGAGAGCCATCCAGGGTGTTGAAATCAGAAATGTGCGGTGCTTAACAGAGAACAAAGAAGAGTTTGCCAGAAACATTTGTGTGAAGGGGAATTGTGGAAGGTAAAGCTGGAGTGGGAGGCTGAACAGGCTAATGCTGGGTCTTGAATGCCAAGAGATTGCGCTTTATCGTGTGGGCAATGGGGAAGTTACAGAAGAGTGTGGAACAAAGACATTGCATGTCAGAACCATACTTCAAGAGCATCCCTCTGGTGGGGGATCCTTCAGGCAAAGGAATGAGAGTCTGAAGCCTGTTTTCTCCCAGAAAAGGAGTTGTACGGAGCTGACCAAGAGCAGAGCCATGGGGATAACCAAAAGAGGAACCGCAGGAGGGAGCAACACCCATTGAGGATGTCTCATTGACAAAACTGGTGTCTCATTAGATGGAGTGGGGGAGGAAGCAAAGGAGAGAGGGTTGGTAGAGAAGACTCACAGGGTCTTCCCAGGTGACCAGGGTGGCAAAACAGAAATAAGGAAGGCAGGAGGAGGAGGGAGAGCTTTTAATTACAGCCATAAGAACAGTTTCTTGCATTTTGCATTTCACTTTCTAATGTTCCATTAGAAGGGAGCATGCACATTTACTGTCTAGTTATGTATATGTATGTGTGTGTGTGCATATGTGTGAGTGGGTGCACTTCGCTCTCTCCCTGACTGTTTGTACTTCAGTTATGCCTCTCTTCAACTTGACATTCAAGTTGGATATAAACAAAAGTTAATATAGCAGCTGTATTTTCTTAACTATATCTAACTACCCATTGATCAGAAGAGCAGCAGGCCACCCCCTTGTCGGTTGTGAATTATCAAATTTAATAACCAACATCAAACCACCATGTGTCCTGCTGTACATGTGGTTTAGGGATAAAATCAGAGCTGCTGGTCATAAAGTCTGTGTGTTTCTGCCCTAGCTTGGCCCAAATTAGCACATGCTCAACATGCTTTTCCTATAGCCAAGGGAAGAATACCAGCCCAGACAAGTCATGCGAGACTCTTAGCTTGTAAAACACCTGGTCTTGCAGCAAGACTGAGATGCCAGGGACACCGGGGGATGCAAGCTGGAGAATGAACTATCTCTAGGGTTATTTCTAGTAAGCTGGTGGTTGTGACCATGTGCCAGTGAGACACAGACTGAATGGTGCCCATTGGCTTAGCCAATGTGAGGGAGGTCATTGGTGAGCTTGGCAGGTGCTGGTGCATTGGAGCAGTGGGGCAGGGGCAGGATCACACACAGTTAAGGAGTGCATGAGATGGGCAGTAAGAGAAGGGAGAATGTGAGTATAGATAGCATATTTGAGAAGTAGCTGGAAAGCAGGAAGAGCTGTCACTGTCCCCCACCCACATATGGGGAGAGGGGCTTAGTGCAAGGACCATGTCTGATTTTTCTCTGGGTCTCCAGGGCCTTGGAGAGAAAGAGAAAGAGATTCCAGGAGGGAGCTAACAATGGTGGCAAATGTTGCTGGTCAGCAGCTGAGAATGATAAGGTTTGCTGTCAGGGGTAAACGTGTGAGGAGGATGTAAGGTCAGCAAGTGTAGATGACTTCTCAGGAAGCTTAACATGAAGGAGGACAGACTGCAACAGCTAGAGAGAAACACTTTGCTTAGATATTTGTGTTTTTGTGTTTTAAAGATGAGACATAAGCATGTTTACAGGCTAAGAGGACGAGTCCAACTGAGGGGAAAGGATGCAACTGTAGAAGAGGGAGGGGAGGAGATCCTTCATGAGGTAGCTGGGTATGCTCAGAGCCCAGTGTGAAGAACTGGCCTCCTAGTGGAGGATGAACACCTCCTCCTCAGAGGAGGGAGGAAAGGAAGGAAAAGTGAGGAAACAGACAGGCTCACTCATTCATTCAACTGACAATATTATGTGCCGGGTACTGTCCTAGGTGCTCAAGATAACAGCAATGAGAAAAGCAAATCAAAATCCTCGCCCTTGTGGGGCATACATTCCAGAGGGAGGAGACAGAACATAAAAAATAAATATAATTAATAGGCAAAATACATAGCACATTAGAAGGTAGTAAATGGTTTGGGGAAAAATAGCAAGCAGAATAGGATAAGTAGGATTGGGACTGTCGGGGGGTGGGTTACAATTTTAAGCAGAATAGTCAGGGAGAGCATCACTGAGTAGGCGGTGTCCAGGGGAAGAGTGTTGCAGTAAGAAGGAACTAAAAATCAAAAATTACCTAAAGTCACAGCATGCCTGGCATGTTCCAGGAACAACAGGAAAGCCACTGTGGCTGGAGTAGAGTGAAGCAGGAAGTAGCAGGAGATGTGATCAGAGAGATAACAGGGTGGGGCTGGCCAATCATGTAGTGTCATGCAGACATTGAAAGAACAATAACTTTTACTCCGATTGAAAATGGGAGCCACTGGAAGAGTCATGAGCAGAAGAGTGACATAATTTGAGTTACATTTTTTTTTAAAAAGGACCACTGCCTTTAGAATAAATTGTTGATGGCAAAGATAAAAACAACGGCGCTAAATAGTAGGCAATTGCAGCAATCCAAAGAGACGATGGTGGTTTGGAACAGGATGAGAAGTATTCACACTATGGATATGTCTTGAAAGTAGAGACAACAGGATTTCCCGACAGATTATATTTGAAGTGTGAAAGAAAAAGAGAAGTCAAAGGTGACTCCAGAAGGGTGTCATTACCAACAGCTGAAATGGAGAAGGCTATGGATAGAACAGGGTTTGTTTGGGGTTGCCGTTTGTTTTGTTGGAGTTTTGTTTTTGTTTTGTTTTCTTGGTAGATAGGTCAGAAGTTCAGTTTGGACACGTTTAG